CACCGGCCCAGGCGCCAGTCAAGGCGCCGGCCAAGGCGCCGGCCAAGGCGCCGGCCCAGATGCCGGCCAAGACGAGGCCTAAAGCGGCGCCGAGGAGCGGAGTGGCTTTCCCTCCGCTCCCCGCTCCGACATCCCTGCCGGGCCCCTCCGCACCTGCCCCCTCCAACGAAGGTTGGCAGCAGGCGAGGGGCTCAAAGAAGTCCCGAAGGCGGGCTAGAAGGGCTGCTCAGAAAGCAGCCCAAGCCCAGCCTTCGCCACCGGTGGCAACGGCCTCAAAAAAGAGGCCGCGGAAGCTGCAGCCGCCCAAAACCGCGGCTGTAGTCGTGACGCTGTCGCCGGAGGCGGCCAGTGGCGGGCTCACGTATGCGGCCCTCTTCAAGGGGGCCCGGCCCGGTCTCGCCACTGAGTTCGGGGAGGCGGGGATGAGGCTGCGCCGCGCCCAGACGGGAGCTCGGGTTTTCGAGTTCAATGGGGCTGAAGGCGCGGCGACGGCCGACAAATTCGCCGAGAAGTTGCGGGGAATTTTCGCCGCCACGGACGGTGTTAAGATCGCCAGGCCCACCAAATGCGCGGAACTGCGTATCTCGGGCCTGGACGACTCTATAACGTCGGAGGATGTCCGCGATGCAGTCATGGAGAAGACTGGGTGCACCGCGGACACCATCAGAGTCGGCACCGTCCGTCCGGGTCCGGGAGGCCTCGGTGCGGTGTGGGTCAGCTGTCCCGTGGCGTCGGCCAAAGCGTTGGGCGACGCCGGAAGCATGCTCGTCGGCTTCGTTAATGCCAGAATCACGGTTCTGGCCGCGAGGCCGATGAGGTGCTTCAAGTGCCTAACCGCGGGACACACTCGCACCAGGTGCGAGAGCTGTTTTGACTGCAGCGGTCTATGCTTCCGCTGCGGTCAACCCGGGCACAAGGCGGCAGAGTGCTCTGCCGCCCCTCACTGCCCCGTGTGTGCGGCGGCTAAAAAGCCTGCCAATCACCAGATGGGGCAGGGGGGCTGCAAGCCTCCCCGCGCTTCTCGGCAAACGCCGGGGGCTAGCCTGCCGACCCAGGCTACCTCCGACGTCAATCTTGCGTCGACGCCGACGCCCATGGAGGAGGTTGTAGAGACGATCCAGTAATGGATCAAGTCTCCAACCTCCTGGTCCAGACGAATCTGAACCACTGTGCTGCGGCGCAGGATCTCTTCCTGCAAACCATGGCACAGTGGTCTATAGGTGTTGCCGTAGTCGCGGAGCCCTATTTTGTCCCTCCCCGTCCAAACTGGATGGGTGACCGGGACGGCTCCGTGGCAGTCGTCGGCTCCACGGCGGCTCATTCCCCGCCCTTGTCGCTAAGAGACAAGGGTACTGGATATGTTGCCGCCGATTGGGGGGGAATCACCATTTATGGTGTATATTTCTCCCCCAACCGGAGTTTGAACGACTTCGAGGTCTTTCTTAACAACTTGGAGGCCTCGATGCGGCGACTAGTGTCTGGGCACGTCCTCGTGCTGGGGGACTTCAACGCAAAGTCCATTGCGTGGGGTTCCCCTGCAACGGACGCCAGGGGCGAAGCCGTTGAGGAGTGGGCGGCGTCGGTGGGCCTCTGTTTGCTGAACAGAGGCTCCACCAACACGTGCGTGCGACAGCAGGGGGGGTCGATAGTGGACCTTTCGTTCGCTACCCCTGCAGTCGCCGCACGAGTAAGGAACTGGTGTGTCCTGGAAGAGGTCGAGACGCTCTCGGATCATTTGTACATCCGATTCGAGCTCTCCCGGTCCCAGGACCCCAGTAGGGGTCACGCGGCGCGGCGCCCTTCCCGCTTTCCGCGGTGGGCTATCGCCAAGCTCGACAGGGACCTACTAGAGGAGGCGGCCATTATTCACTCTTGGCTGTCTCCGCAGGCCCCGACCGAGGAGGTCGACATGGGGGCTGGTCGCTTCTGCGATGCGATTACGCAGATTTGCGATGCGGCCATGCCCCGCGTTCGTGGTTGTCGGCCTCCAAGGAAGGAGGTCTACTGGTGGTCCCAGGAGTTGGCGGACCTCCGTGCGGCCTGTGTACGTGCCCGGAGGTCCCTCACCCGTAGTCGGCGACGTCACCGCGGGGTCGGTGAGGAGATGGACCGGTTTCATGAGGAGTACCGAGAAGCTCGGAAAACTCTGAGGCTGGCCATCTGCCGCGCCAAGGATGTCAGTAGAGAGGAGATGCTGGAGAGTCTCGAGCGTGACCCCTGGGGTCACCCTTATCGTGCGGTGCGTCAAAAGCTCCGCACGTCGGGCCCCCCCCTTACGGAGACTCTCCAGCCCAGCTTCCTGCAGGAAGTGGTCGAGGGCCTATTCCCGCAGCGGGCGGAGCACACACCCCCGTCGATGGCTGCATCAGCCGGAGACGACGGGGGCAGCGAGGCTGATGTTCCGCCCGTCAGGGAATCGGAGTTGGGGGCGGCTGTTCTACGGATTAGATCCAAGAACACTGCCCCCGGGCCGGACGGGGTTCCAGCCCGAGTGATGGCCCGAGCCCTCGACTACATGTCGGACCACCTCAGGGGGGTGTTGGACGCTAGCCTGGCGTCCGGACGCTTCCCTGAGCGCTGGAAATGCGGGAAGCTGGTCCTGCTGCAGAAGCCGGGACGGCCTGCCGAATCGGTCGCGGCCTATAGGCCTATCGTGTTGCTGGACGAGGCGGGTAAACTTTTTGAGAGGGTGCTTTCTGCCCGCATCGTCCGGCACCTTTGCGAGGTTGGCCCCGATCTGTCGGACGCCCAATTCGGTTTCCGAGCGGGGCGTTCGACGATCGATGCCGTAATGCACCTTAGGGCCGTGACCGAGGAGGCCGTGAGCTGCGGCGGAGTGGTGTTGGCGGTGTCCTTGGACATCGCCAACGCCTTCAATAGTCTGCCATTCAGCTGCATCAGGGAAGCGCTCCGCTACCACGGAGTGCCGGAGTACCTGAGGCGGCTGGTGGCAGACTACCTTGAGGAGCGAACCGTCATGTACGAGGACCGAGATGGCGTCTTGAGACGCAGGGCCATGTCGTGCGGTGTTCCGCAGGGGTCTGTCCTAGGACCACTCTTGTGGAACATTGGATACGACTGGGCCCTACGAGGGCGTCTCCCCCCCGGGCTGGGTGTACTCTGCTACGCAGATGACACTTTAGTCACGGCCCGGGGGGCTAACTTCCAGGAGGCGGCGCGCCTGGCCGCCACGGGAGTTTCCCAGGTGGTCGGGCGCATTGAGGCGTTGGGATTACGGGTGGCCCTGGATAAGACGGAGGCCCTATTATTTCATGGGCCCCGTCGTGGTCCGCCCGCCGGCGCCTCAATCGAGGTCGGCTCGGTCCTCGTACCGGTCCGGGCCCAGATGAGGTACCTGGGTCTGGTCCTAGACGGTAGGTGGCTCTTCGACGAGCACTTCCGACAGCTTGGTCCGAAGCTGGTGGACACTGCCTCCGCCCTAGGGCGACTTTTGCCCAATTTGGGCGGGGCCAGTGTTCCCACGAGGCGGCTGTACGCGGGGGTTGTCCGGTCCATGGCGCTTTATGGTGCACCGGTGTGGGTGGCGGCTCTGACCGCCCCGAATAGGGCGCGCCTCTGGCGCCCCCAGAGGATATTGGCGGTCAGAGCCATACGCGGATACCGCACGGTGTCCACCGAGGCGGCTTGCGCCTTGGCCGGAACACCCCCGTGGGATTTGGAAGCGGAGGTGCTCGCCGAAGTTTATCGGCGAGTGGCTGACTTCCGGGCGGAGAGCGGATTTCGCCCTCCGCCCGAAGACGTGCGCGAGTGGCGCGAAGCCGCTCGCCGAGCCACCATGGTTAGATGGTCGTTCCGGCTGGAGACTCCACGCGCTGGCTTCGCCGCCGTGGAGGCTCTCCAGCCGGTCATAGCCGAGTGGGCAGGGCGGCAGCACGGGGCCCTTTCCTTCCGGCTGACGCAGGTGCTTTCCGGGCACGGTTGCTTCGGAAAGTACCTGCACTCGGTCGCTAGGAGGGAACTGAGTCCCGCCTGCCACCACTGCGACTGCAGTGAGGACTCGGCCCAGCACACGCTGGCGGTCTGCCCCGCATGGGCGACGCAGCGCCGGGCCCTCACTGCAGTCATCGGAGCAGATCTCTCGCTACCGGCCGTAATTCGCTCCATGGCCGGTAGCGACAGTTGTTTTACCGCGGTCGCAACCTTCTGCGAGGAGGTAATCTCGCAGAAGGAGGCGGCGGAGAAGGCCCGGGAGGACGACCTCCACTCGGACCTGATCCGCCGCCGGCGAACCGGGCGGCGGAGGCGCGCTTACCTGCGCCTCATGCCGCCCTGAGTGTGGCCGCGGGTGGACGGGGTGGGTTTCCCCTCCACCCGCATTACTTGGCCAGCCGCGAGGGGGCGGCGTCCGCGTGTGCCGGACGTCGCCTAAAGAGAGGATAATTGAAGACGGAGCCCGCACCAGGAGCGGGCCGGCGCTGGGAGGGGTCCAGAAGGCGATAACTACCTGGACCCCTCCTAAACTGGAAGCGCAAAGAGGGCACACCGTGTGGTTTTAGTCGGTTCGAGTCCGACACACCACCCCGCCGCAAACCCCGGTGGGGTGACGGTCCGAGGGGATTTCCACACGTTAAAAAAAAAAAAAAAAAAAAAAAAAAAAAAAGGTTAAGTTTTATCAAAATGACAGATGAAGGTATACATATTATATATACATATACATATTTAATCAAATTCTAGAATGCGTTCTATTCTAATTAGGAAAGTATGTCACATTATAGATGCCTACTAACTAGGTACTAAACGAATTGCTCTACATTGACAAATTACCTGTTTATACTTCCAGAGCCCTTTTGAAATGAATGGACCACAACTTGTTGCTTCTAAACCATTAATTGCGTTACCTGTTTTACCGGGATATCACAATTCATAGTGTTGAAATTAGAACTAAGTACTTAAAAAAATTTGTAAATCATGGTTTTTGTTGGTGCTAATCTATTTCTTTGTGTGTCTGACAATTTTAGTTCATGTTTATTATTACTTACCTTTTTTTCTTATCCTTCATTTTGAATTGGCACAAAAGTTACCTTCTTAAAATATGCTAACGTCCTCACTTGAACTTAGAAAGTCTAGTAACAATATAAATTAGTCCCAAAAATTACATGGACAAATCCATATTTAAATGATTTAATTTAGCACCAATAAGGCCGGTTTGTACTACACGTTTGTTTGATTACATTCAAAACATTGTGAATGAAGACGATCGATAGTGTTGAGTGGGAAGGAAAGCTGAAACGCTTGCGGTGTGACCGCTCCGTCCAACGAGTGAACGCGACTAAAGTTGGCGAAACGCGTGCCAGCTGCGAGCCTGCGCGCCTCTGACGTCGAGTACCGAGTGCAGACCAGACGTCGGGACGTGCTCTGGCCTCCAAACACGCGTTGCCTGCTAAATCTACCGCCACCTCTTCAACCATCAATGAACTACAAAGACCTTGAATTACGGCGCAGCAACACCGAGTTAATTCAACTTTTTTTTAAACTTTGCTACCCCGTTGTTTGAAGATCACTTACACACCTATAAATACACGTGAACGTGTCATGGCTATGTCTACGTTCCGATATCTATAATCTAACAGGAAGTAGAAAATTTATTACTATTGTTCAAAAGATAAAGTCCTTTTTAAATGATTGATCCATTTACACTTTTAGCACAGAACATAGTTTTTGGGTAATGAGATGACTCGTTATTTTTTTCTTACATCTGTGTGCTTTAACCATTTAAACAAACTGATCCAGTAGGAGAATATTTAGGTAAGCTTAATTATGCAAACAGAAAACATCTTAGCAATTTTAAAATGATGTAATTTTGACTACGATTAAGTTATTAAACAACAAGTAATAGATATTTGTGTATAGAAACTAGTCTCATGTAATTTACATTATTAATATATTGGAACTTTAAAATATTTAACGTCCTTGTATCTAACATCATAGTCAACAACTGCGACTGCCTGAAACACAAGTTACAAACCTAGCTCAGGGCGATTGCAAAATAATTTGTAATATTTTGATTTTACTTTTTCAGTCTTGCACATTTTAGAATAGTCATGTACCTACTAGTTTTATGTCCGCTTTAGTCATCAATCAATCATAGGCCTAAAACAATCTATACAAGATTATTACTAATACGGCATCAGTGGTGGATATTCGGCACGAATATGGCTTGTACTCGTAAGTCCGATTCGGGAACGACAACCTCGGCCATAGTGTGAACCTTAAGAAGTATGGCGTACAACCCCTCAATGCTGACGTGTGTCGAAGGCTTAATTTAAGTCGACGAAAGCTATTAACAGGGGGGGTTCTGTGCTGTCTGCATTTCTCAAGTGAAGATCGTATCACTGGTGGCGCGGTTTGCACGAAATCCACACTGCGTTTCTGAATAAATACGTTCCGCTAATAGTGAAAGTCAGCAATAGTGGGAGCAAAGTCAAGATCGCTCAGTACTGGCAAATCAGGGATGCGTTCGAGTCCCTCAGATTAAATTACGGTAGTGTTGGAGTGGAGACTAGAGTAATGTTCTACCCAACGATAGAGTGGTTTATTTATATATTTAAAACTTAATGCACATGTTATACAACGGCGGAATTATGCCATTAGGCATTTGACTGGAAAGTCAACCTTCAGGTGATGTAGAAATATAATGCGGTAGGTATATATTAAATTTAACATAATTGAAGTCCAGAGACATACAAAAATATATAAACACACATACATAAGTAAACATACATACATTTAATAAAATATATAAATGCCAGTTGCCAATTCACTCTGAAGAAGATCGCGCACTTTTCTCTTTAATGCAAGGCGGTTTGTGGACATCCTGATTTCGGCAGGGAGGGCATTCCAGAGAAGAACTGGCTGGACGTAAAAGGAGGAGTTGATGAAGTTGGAGTTGACCGAAGATTTGAGCGATTTGAGCATAAGAAACGGAAGTACCCCACTTCCGAGGTATTCAGGTAACGATGGAGAGTTGAGGAAAGAAAAGAGAGAAGTCAGTGCTCGCAAATTGCAGAGCTGACGAATTGGGAGCCATTGCAGCTGGGAACGTAAAGCAGACACGTGGCCATACTTGCGAAGATTGAAAACGAATCGAATGCAGTTATTGAGAAGGCGATTTTGTTTATTAAGAAGGTCTGCATTCAGGTCGAAATCACACACATCACCATAGTCGATTAAGGGAATAATTTAGGACTGCATAATATAGCGTAGTCTTAGTTTTAGCGTGAAGGAAGTTCTTCAAACGATATAAAGCACGGATACATGTAGTGACTTTCTGGCTGACGTGTGTAACCCGTGCCCGCCAGTCAAGTGTCCAATCGATAAATAATCCCAGGTTCTTTACCAGTGCACTAAAAGGTTTAGTCACATTGTTGTAGACAACTGGTGGGATGACCGCCATATTCAATCTACTTATCATTTGTTTGCTCCCCATGACGATCACTTGACATTTGGTTGAATTTACCGACAAACCAAACCTTGTTGACCAGCTCTTTAGTAAGTCCAGTGTGATGTTTGAGGGTATTATTATTACGTATTATTATTATTTGTTGACTTTGTCGATGGCGTATGTCATGTCCTCAACCCTTGACTGTGTCTACACTTATAAGTCATCAGCGTACAGGTGATACTTACACTGAAGGTGCTGGGTTATAAGATTAATGAATATTAAGAATAATAAGGGAGATAACCGCCGTGAGGGATGCCAGTAAGAAGATCACACCAACTCGACGACAAGTCATCAATATGAAATACTCTGTTGTCGTCCCTGAAGATACGAGGAGAACCATTCCAGAGCTTCTGAAGAGATCATAAAATAGGAAAGGATGACCAGTAGAACGTCATGACTATCGGTATTAAAGGCATTCGAGAAATCAATCAAAGCCAGCACTATGACTTTAGTGTCCTCTATACCCTCCCTTATATCGCCAGTCACTTTGAAGAGAGCGGTGGTTGTGCTGTGACCAGGTCTGAACCGAGATTGTAAAGGACTAAGAAGATTCTGCTAATTTACAAACTGTGAGAGCTGCTTAGGTACACAGGCCTCTAGCTCTTTAGAAAGAAAGGGAAGTATAGAAATTGGTCGAAAGTGTTCGGGGAGAGAGGGGTTGGTTTTTTGGGTAAAGGGATGATGAAGGCCTTATGCCAGAGTGAGGGAAAGGTTGCAGAGTCATCCATGATAGTAACAATCATGCGACGGCTGATACCGTCACATCCCACAGCATTGCAACGAATGGATAAGATAATTCTTTTGATGTCCTCAGAAGATACCGGAGGAAAGCCATCTAGACCAATTGTCATCTTAAACTCATTGCATTTTGGCATTGTTGCTTGCCAATGCCTAGCGTTCCACGGAACTTCCGGAACTTCCACACACTAGAAGTTGAAGAGGTTTCTATATTTTGAATGATATAGCGGCGTTTTGCGTTACGTATCACCTGGTTACATCGATTCCTAGCAGCTTTAAAAAGGTTCCATTTCTCCTCACAGCGATCTTTCCTGTAGCTATTGAAACAACGGTCTCTCCGTCTTCGACAGTTAATGGCATAGTCTTCACTGTTACCGTTTCCAACTACCAAAAAAATGATGTCGTTAAGGACACCGTGATGGAAGAGAAACAGGAATTCCCATTTATAAAAGAGACCGTAACATCCACTTAACATCATCAGCTTTTAACGTTTAAAGTTTATATTAAAAGTTTTTATTATATATACGAGTATATTAAGATTGGTAAGAGACTGGCGAGACTTCCTTCTGGAACTCGTGCATTTTGGTCTGTTGCCATTTCTGGGTCTTTAGGGTCTGTTGTCCTTTCCAACCCTGCAGATGTGAGATAATTTATTCCCCATGATGCCAAGGAGAAAACCGATCTCCTAGGCGAACTTTTTGCATCGAAGTCGACTTTGGAAGACGGGGAAAAGTATCGCCAACCATACCGTAGGGAGCTGTATGCCGGAAATCCGGTTCACCCAAAAATCAGTTAGTAAAGCACTCTTTTCCCTCGATATCGTGTTGAAGACGTGTGCTCCAGCGATGGCTCCTAAGGCGTCGTGTCATCCCGAACTCCTAGTCCGATCCCTAAAAAAGGTGACCGCTATGATCCGTCCAACTACAACAGCTAAGACTATACTTAATAATAGAAATGTCAAAAGACACTTCACTGACAAAAATCGCTGACGAATCGTGAGCCAGTTCAATACGCGATGAGAGGAGGAAACATGGTTGTATTTGCGAAGGTTAAAGAAGAATCGAATGCAGTTATTCAGAAGGCGGTCATATTAATTGAGGAGATCTGTATTCAGGTGATAATAGCATACATCACCATAATCCAAGATAGGGACAATAAGGGTCTGTACCAGGGTCGGAAGGAAGGAAGTTTTTAAACCGATAGAAGGCCCGTAGCGTACCTGTGACTCTCTGGTTGACGCTGGTGACTTGGGTTTGCCAGCTGAGCTAGGAATCGATAATTAGGAATAGGTTCTTAACAAGTTAAGTAATGGATGGCAGTTTGTCTTGATCCATCCTTCTAGGCATACGCTGACTGCCTATGATGATGGCTTGGCACTTCGCTGGATTCACTGCCAAACCAACCCTAGGTCATTGTTAACCATGTCGTCTGTAGAGGCTTGATAATAGAGTTGCAAGTCATCAGCATAAACGAGCATAATTTTCAACGTTCTGTTATGTCTTTTCAGTGCCGTCAGAGTGCGATAGGAAGATTTTATAGGATCCGTTTATAGTTCGGATACAATAAAGTCTACGTCACTTTTCAACATATAGCCTGTCTACACCTAAATATTTCTACCTATTTAAAATGATATCATTCCCTAGATGCATGAGGTGAACAAACAATATCGACAAACAATATACTCGTATCACATTTACAATACTGAGGATGTTTATATGTAAGCAATGAAGACATTGTTACGAAATATATTATGCTTTTACTGCATAAAATGTACCTACGATAAGCATCCCAATTTTCGGATAACTAAATAATAGAGTAAC